AAGAGGGCAGAGCGAGTGGCGGCTCTGCTGATGGAGCGAGGAGGTCTGCAGGAAGGAGACCACGTCGCTCTCGTCTACCCACCGGGTCAGAGATGCAGCACGCTCTTTGTTTACAGAACATTTGTACATTTGATAGGACTGATCATTCACACCTCTCCCTCCGCTGCGTCCTGCAGGTATAGACCTGATTGCAGCCTTCTACGGCAGCCTGTACGCCGGCTGTGTTCCCATCACGGTGCGACCGCCTCACCCTCAGAACATCTCCACCACGCTGCCCACCGTCAAGATGATTGTCGAGGTCGGTTTGTATAAAATGCTGCTATTTGTTTTTCAATGAATGTTGTTTTTCAGTCTTGTAATTTTGACTTCTCTTGTATAGATTCTATTTATATTTATACTTCTCTAAATTCATCCGCCGTGTCTTTGTGCTGCTGCAAAACCAGACTTTGTCAATAAAGGCTGATTTTATCTTTTAAAAATTTAGACAATTTTACAAATCATTTCACAAACTACAAAACTATGCATGCTCAGCTTTTGGGACAAACATATCGACTGGTGATCAAATCTTCCTTTTTTTTTTACTTCCCTTGTCTGCACTGAGAAGTTTTATTGTTTTATCCTGTATTAAAATATAGAAACATTATGGTGAAAAAGAGGGAAAAAATGAATTATTACAATTAAATGATCATATAACCATTAATAACCTTAAGATAATTCCTGTCTCCCTCTGCAGGTCAGTCATTCAGCCTGTGTGATGACCACGGCAGTCATCTGTAAACTGCTGCGCTCTAAAGAGGCCACGGCCACAGTGGACATCAGGAACTGGCCGCCGGTCCTCGACACTGGTACGGCAGCTTTTCTGCCCCTCAACATGTCTGTGCACGTCCCTGTTGACTGGGTTTACTGGTGGTCACTAAAAATAAAGAATGTGAACTTGTGCAGTTGAATGTTTTCCATTTTATGAAGAAAAAACAATTCGCAAATGTGTGTGTGTGTGTGTGTGTGTGTATCGCAGATGACCTGCCAAAGAAGAAGCCTCCAGCTCTCTATAAGCCCACCAACCCTGACGGTCTGGCCTATCTGGACTTCAGCGTGTCCACAACCGGCATGCTGGCTGGAGTTCAGGTCAGCTCAGCGTTAATCCCCATCACCCGAGCAAAGCGCTTTACAGCCTCTTGCCCCGTTGCTCGGACAGACTTCTTTCCTTATTTTGTTTATTCGTTGCTTTTTCTATTTGTTTTTTTAAATTCCAGAGGGATATTCAGCTGTCAGAGCAGCAACAGTCAACACAATACAGCCCCGTGCATACAGGAAAGATGAGGAAAATAGCAGAATAAAAGCAAATTAACATATATTTAAGCATGTGACATACATTTCCAGGTCTTCTTGTGTTTGTTTGTCCTGATACACAAACTGCATCTTCCAACTGATGCGTGACTTGTGTAACATTTTAAATGTGAATTTTTTAGGGATTAACTGTCCATCTTTCCACCCTGTTCCTTGTTCGTCTGTTTGTGTGTGTGTGTCTTGTTGTGTCTCTCTTTCTCTCCCTCCCTCTCTCCAGATGTCCCATAATGCAGTTGGGGCCTTCTGTCGGTCGGTGAAGCTGCAGTGTGAGCTGTACCCGTCCAGAGAAGTGGCCATCTGTCTGGATCCCTACTGCGGCCTCGGCTTTGTCCTCTGGTGTCTCTGCAGGTCGGTGTCTCCACCCACTTACACGCCATTAAAAATGTATTTCAGTCATCAATCTGAAATCTGAAAAGTGATAATAATCAGCGTTTGTGTAATGGATCAAATGACAATGTGAAAGGTTTTACTGACCTCCAGAGCTGAATGTGCTGCTCCCCCCTTGGCTTTCCGGTGCTTCATAGTGAGTTTCAGCTCATTGTTTGTCTGACCCACAACCTTACTGTTTTGGCACTCACAGCTCTCGTAGTGTCTTTCTTTGGCCGCAGAGAGAAAGCTCGAAAAACACGCCGTGCACTACCTGCTCAGCGGGGAAGGCTTTTCTGTTTCAACATGCACAAACCAGCTCCATAAAAAGTAGTTCTCCTAGTTTAATGTGGAAGACCTTGACTGCTCTGACCTCAACCCCCGTCCAACACTTTTGGGATGAACTGGAACGCAGACTGTGAGCCAGAACTGATCCCCCTGACATCAGTGTTGGACCTCATGAATGCTCTTGTGTCCCCGCAGGCAGGGTTCAACATCTGGTGGAAAGACTGAAACCAGAAGAGCTGTAATAGCAGAGCATCAAGTGTGGCATGTTTAAAGGACCAGTGTGTAACATTTAAGAGGATCTATTGGCAGATAATGTCATTTAATATTCAGAAATATGTCCTCATTAGTGTATAATCACCTGAAAATAAGAATTATTATGTTTTCGTTACCTTATAGTGAGCCGTTTTTATCTACTCCTCTGTAGAGCCCAGAATAGACAAACCAAACACTGGCTCTAGATCGGGCCTTTTCTTTGTGTCTATATACTTTTAGCCGTATAATTTATCTTCTTTCGCCGAAAAAAACAAAATGCAAATTGCGCTGCCGTTATACTTCCCCACAGGGCCTTTTGTTTTATTACAGAAGGTTCTCCACATGTTTCGGTACAAATTATGATTTATGTCAGAAATGTTGTCTGGCGTCCTTTAATAACAAGAACAGAGAATCACTGTCGTAATGTTTATCACTGAATCTCGAATGACTGTAAATCTTCTCACTCCAGTTCCAGTTCTCAGGTCTGCTTGGGTTTAAATCTTCCGCTCATAAATTCTGAACTTGGCGAGAGCAGATTTCTGCTGCCGAATGTCTTATAAATAAAGCAGTCTGCAAATCACCTTCGGTATGAGGATATCTCATCCTCCTCAATGACTTTAAAGCAACAATAAGTCACATTTAAAGGCTGTTTGTTACAATAAACGACTGTAGTTTTGGCTCTCAGGTTTCTCTTAATCCGAATCGAGACCAACTGGTTATTTACTGGATAAATAGTCATTTTATTGCATGTAACCATTAAAAAGACCCTTGAAAAAGGTGTGTGTTTTCCTGCAGTGTGTATTCTGGCCACCAGTCCATCCTGATTCCCCCGGTGGAGCTGGAGTCCAACCCGGCGCTGTGGCTGCTGGCCGTCAGCCAGCTGAGGGTGCGAGACACCTTCTGCTCCTACAGCGTCATGGAGCTCTGCACCAAAGGACTCGGCCTGCAGACCGAGGCACTCAAGGTCAGCAAGGCACTGATACAACCAACATTTCAGTTCTTATTTCACATATTCAAACCATTTTTAGGCACTCTGATATTTATCTACCTCCATTTTGACTGCAGGAACCCTCCTGTTATAGTGTCCTCATAGGTCATCCTGTTTGAGTCTGCCATCAGTCTAATTTGTCTGATCCTGTCGCTGTGAATCGTTTCAACCAAAGGAACGTTTCCAGGAACTCTGAGCCCTCGTCTGTGTTTCAGCTGGCACAACCTAAATTTAGTCTCTCTTTGATAGTTTCAGGTGCCAAAATAGTCCTTAGTCCTACTTTCCAATGTCCCAGGAACTATCGGGGCTGAGTTTGCTGAAAACTACCGAAACAAAACTTTAGAATCTGCACAACTTTTGTTGTGTTTTACACCTGTATCAGTATTAGGATGAGGAACATCCCTTGTGTGTATTAATGTTAAAAACACAACAGTTATGTTAGTTTTTACAAAAGAGTGGGAGTGAACAGTGAGCGAGTGAACGAGAGACACCAAACTTAATTTGCTGATTATTATCTACGATTGTTTTGCAAGAAATTATTGTTGCATTCGAGTTTTGCGTCTTCCTTTCCACCTCTGATGCTCCTTTGTTTCTATTTATTGCTGTACATCTATTCAAACATCGGCACCACACTAAAACTCCTCAAATACGTTTCTTAATGCATTTACAGTTTTTCAGACGTGGTGGAAACAGGAATACAGAAAAGGGGACTTTTAGTGACGAGTTAAGCTCACCTGAGTTGGGTTCTTGTGGCTTCTTGTTCCTATTAGTACGTCAGACTATGTGGTGCAGAATGACGGCGTAAAAGAGCCCTTATAGCCAATTATTAATAATGATTAGCATACATTTCTAATTAAGTTTCTGTTGGGAGTTAGTGTGGGGAAGGTCTTTCCTGGGAGAAATATTCTATAGGAGAGGATGTTTGTTTGATTGACAGCTGATCTCAGTACGGCTGTCCCTGCCCTCCCTCCAGATACGCCTGTAGGACAGATTAAACTAACCCCGCTGGTCACTTTTCCCAACATGCATCAGTCCAGTTGTACTCAACAGCTGGATGTGAGCAGTCAGATAAACCCACAGACTCTAACTGACTCCAGCCCTCCTCTGGCTCAGCGGTAATAAACTCACACTCTGTCTCCGTCTCCTCTGCCTGAGGCCACGTCTGAGTGCCGAAGCCACCGACGCTTCTGATTGGTCACTGATGGAAGCTGCAGAGTTAATTTTAGTTATTATCTTTCTTTAAGTCTCCATGGAGACTGAAGGCTGAACGCAGAGTGAAAAGTACAAATGTTTCTTTAGTTAATACTTTAACCTTAACTTCATTCTTCAAGTTCCCCTCCTACTCAAAAATGTGTTTTTCTTCCTACATTGTGATGTTTGATCTTCACTGTGCAGAATGATGATATAAGCATGTGTGATGTAGAATGGAGACATCTTGTGTCCAGCAGGAAAACCTTAGAAATATTCATAGTTTCTGGCATTTTCAATGAAGGTAGATGTTTTTTTTTTAAGGATTTTAATTAGGAAATTATCCTTAATTTTTTTTGCCGTAAACATACATATCAGAAACACATTATTGTTCCAAGCAGACTATTTGTATTTGTTATAAAACATGTCTAGAGGAGAACTTTAACTTAGCCAGGATTACACCCTCAAGCTGTCCTTTCTTTAGAGAGAATAAAACT